CGCATATCGGACTGCCATTAGACCTGTGATAAAGAAGAGGAGGACGCTGAAATATGACGCAATCATCACCTGCTCGAAGGTTTTCCACGGCCGTGGAACGAGATCAGCTAGAGGAATGTGTCGTAAATTAATGTCACTTTGAGTAGTGTCCCTGTAAGGGTTTTCTGAAGAGTTGCTGAACTCTGGATCAGAGTATGTGGAGTAAGCACTTTTGTGATCCTGGCGATGTGCCCCAGATCCAATCAGAGACGCTGAAGCCTGTTCTGGCTCTGCTGGATGGTCGAAGTCATTGCCCGTTTCATCCCCTTGAGGAATCGGCTGATGGTCTGAGCGGTTCATGGCTCTATCAAAAAACCTGTGAGAGAGTTATAAATTACAATATCAGAACAAAACACAGTTCAGTAGAGCACGTTTTTTCGCTAATGTACAAAAATACTATTTCTACATGTGCTGAAATATCACAATTATAATATAAAAATAATGTAGAGGCATACAAGATAGAGTAGATACAAATATAGATTGTGTCACATTCTCTTGACAAGAATAATGTATAACACGACTGTCAGAATCTAAAAAAGAAACAGAAACATATTTTTCTGTTCATATATATACATATATATATATATATATATATATATATATATTATATATATATATATATATATATATATATATATATATATATATATATATATATATATATATGCATGCAGGGTAAAATAAAGTACAGTATAGTATGTCTTTCTCTTGAGACAGCAACAACATACAAGGCTACTGAAGACTATAAACAGACAAACTGATGGTTCAAAATCAGAAGTTTTAAAAATTTGACTTGCAACAAAAATGAGGCAGTTTGCAACCTAGTGTTTGTTTTACCATGCCACTCGGTCTTCATTGTCTAATATTCTTTATCCTTGCACAAAATGAGCAACCAACCCCCCCCCCAAATAAAGCAACTACAACAGAAAAAACTTTCTTACACTCTTCCACCCCCCCAGGGCTCCCCTTTTCAGGCCAACTTATGAGGTTCCTTCACCCTTTGGTTTACTATCTTAAGGGGTATTTAAACCCTTGTTTTAGAAACTTAAAGGGTAAAAGTCAATATCTCATTATTTTATATTAAGACTTTTTGCTTGTAAACTTTTAGTATAGTATGGGGTTTTACGGCGCTCGCAACTGCATAAGGTTATTTGTAAACATTTAACTCACACGCACATTCACACTGACACATACAGAGTGACCATGACTATGATTGAATGCTAACGATTTTTAATTAACTTAACCCTATCCGTACGCCCTGGGGTCATTTTGTACACCCGGGGTGGTATTCTTCACATTTCAGAATACTTCTAGTACGAAGATCTCTTTGAACTTTTCAGTACTTCTTAAAAAATTTTGACAGACTGCTCTGCAAAGCGTACGGATAGGATTAACAAATAAATTTCCTCTTTGGAAAGTGGTGGCACAGGGTTCCCCACGTTGTATGGATACGATAGTAAAACACGACGTATGGATAGGGTTAAGAAATAAATGAGTAATATTGACTAGAATTAGAGCTGTGTCCATAAGGAAGGGGGAAGAGTGGTGGTGGTTGAGCAGTTGGGCCTATCAAAATAAAGTTGATAAACCAAAAGGGGTCAATTCCGACTGTAATACACCAAGAAAAACAGACCTTCCACTCTATGAACTCTAAAAGTCAGGATCTCAGTGGGGAAAAAATTGGGACTAGGTGAACAAAATCGGGATCAACGACAAATCACCTAGGTCACTGCCAAGCCGACTGAAAAAAATTTCAGGGGTGTCCATTATTATATATCTCTATGTATATTCCCTCTGCCCGCGCACGCGTGTGTGTGGAGTATGTGTGTGTTTGTGTGTGCGCACGCGTGCCTGTGAGTGTTTTATCATTATATTTTAAATCCTGAAGTATTAAGTCAAGCTCTTCTAGTCCAAGTGTTTTACAACCCCACCCCCCCCCCCCCCCCCGGATAAGTCCCGAAAGACGCTTCAACCACTGCACATGAAATTAAATTGACCAAGTCAAAGGACGGTCCCCGCAACACGCGGAACTCACATGCTGAAGTCAAGTCACACAGTGCGATCGCGCGATTGAAACAGTTTTACTGACGGTCTTGATGACGGGCTCAACTAACCGGAACTTGGACAAAGCATGTTTTGGCGAAAGTAGATCTTGAGAATGTCTTAAGTCAGACGGCCAAATCAATACCACTTCCATTATACCTGAAATAACACGTGTGAGCAAAGATCCAACACCACTTTTGGTGAGTCAACTACTAAATTCAACATAGACAGAAATGAAGGCAGAGAAAGATAGAAAAAAATCCTGCACAACAGACGGAACAACAAAAAACAAAAAAAACCCAAACAACCCGGGTACGTGCGATCAAAATCTGGAAAATCTGGATGCTTGAGAGATTTAAGACAGGGATGAGAGGAAGGTTTGGAAAATAAACTGATTCATTATTCTTCAACGCCATCCCAGGGTTCACATTCCAGTCTTTCCAGACTTTCAATGGTGGACAATTCATGTTTATTAGCGTATTAAAGAAGGATGGTGGTAATCTCACGGCAGGGGTAAACTCGAGGCAAGACACCGGCAAATGTGAGCGACCGACCAGAATGTGGGTGGAGCTTCTGTGCTGAAGCCAGCCGAATAAGTAGGTCGACTAGTCGACTTCTTCTGAGACAGAAGGTGACTGTCTTATCAAATCATCGACTCGGCTTCGGGATAGATCATAGAGAAGGGGGAAAATGATGCTTGCCAGACGCAGACCACCGAGTTTTAAAGTGTATGCAAACCCCCGAAATGAAATTATAAAGAATAAAGCTCACGCATCACCAGAACTTTAAGGGGGTAATCAGCAGGTTTAATGTGTATACGCACATTTGTGCGTAAAGGGGAGCCATGACCCACCCCCCTTTCTTTCAAAAGAAAACAAAAAACCCTTTTGAATTCGCCCTACGGCAGTCCCAAGCCTGAATCAGCTCCGGCTTGGACTTCAGAAGGGAATGGTTTACTTTCTTCATTTTGATCAGTCCTGCCTATGATGGCCACCTTCCTCCATGACAATGGGTAGCCGTTTTACACAGGTTCGACTGCAGTAAATTACAGGTCAAAGTTATTAGCTCTTTTCAGACGTATCGCCGATATATTGGTGCGAGTCCACACTCCTTGCGGACGTATCACCGACAGCTGTGATAGGGTGCCTCAGTATTGTTTCGTTTTAACACGATCCGTCATTTATAATTACTTTTTATTGCTATTGAAAAACTCGGAAAGGATTTAGGAAACGAAAACATCTAGTTTCACTTTTTCAAAGCGTGGGTTTGGGGAAAAAAAGAGTGAATTAGTTCTTGCGGTCTTGCATCAACAAAATGATGTAACCGGACTCAGTACAAAAATTCAAACAAAAATTGGAATATTGCTTTCAAATAAAAAACTGCGCATTCACAAATTTATGGATTTATGCTCTTGGCCTGTATGAAGGATAACTATGCTGATTTGCTGTCACAAGTTTGGCTCACAATGTTATTTTTTCTGTCAAAATTTATTTTTCTCATCACCATCGCCATTTTTAACCCTTCTAATGCATTGTTCAAAATTAATCCTTGTTTCATATTGGGATGTATTCCTAATTCAATTTCCTTCAATTTGATCATTAAGTTTTGAGTGATGGTTATCTAAGAAGTTATTTTGAACACCACCTGCATAGCCAAATTGAGCCACAAGTTAAATATGTCTAGACGCCCCAAAAAACTACGTCCGGAAAGAGTATAGTGACTAAAGACTTTGCAAGTTACCATAACCCCGTAGAGCGTCTCCTGGCCAAGGTATAGATCGATAAAGTGACACGGTCCAGCAGAGCGACTAGATCTACATGATGTTATATAATCACTTGTTCCGCTGTGCTAATTTTATGTACTAATTGTTAATTTAATTGCGTCTTGCGCTTTCTTTGTATTTATTTGATTGCTTATTATTTTTGAAAGGCTCATTCTATCAGCTTTTCCTTAAGAAAAGATATAAATTATATGCCTTTTTTAAACATCTGTTGAGTCGTAAAAGGTCATTTTTCAGTAGAAGAGGCAGATCTAAATCTCCGGTATCTCAGCTGACATGTCCCCGCCAAACCCCCATGTTTACAACCAATTGGATGTGGTGGCATGGCATTTTGGGCAGGTGAGGCTACTTCCGGTGAGCGCTTCTGGGTTAACGTGGGCGGGTCACCATATAGAGAGTCTTACCCTGGCCTGGAGCGCCCGCTCAGAGTAAGATCCCGTTTGCGTAAGTCGTAAGATCCCACCTCTTCCGTGCTCCCGAGCACCGGAATCTTAGGCGGAGACTACATCTACTGTACAGTGTACTTCTACTTCTACACATGACATATGATATGATGACTTGTTAAGCTGTTAGCCTACTCTTTGACTTTACTTTGAGTCTAGAATCTAGTAGTGTGTTACTCTGGAATCATCATTCTATGACATGAATGAAGTCTACAAATTACAAAGTCAATCAATGATTCTTATACTTATAACCAACTGAATACGAATGCTTCTAAAAAGGAAAGACTTTGACGTACCTGGCTGACGCACGAAGATGAGATATCAAAATATTGGAAAGCACCACGCATGCAGAGGGCTTTGTTTACAAACAGTGCAGTACACGCATCGGAAGTAGATCTTCTAGGCCTCTACTCCTTTTTGCACAAAGCTAGGCTAGCTAGGGACGGAGGCGATGGAGCAGTAATCGGGGCATTTCATTAACTCAAAAAAATAATTCAGGCATTCGTTTTGCTCTTCACCAAATACATTTTTAGGCTACAAAACCATGTATCCATCAATAACTTTTAATTTTATTCTACTTGTTTTGAACACTTTCAAATGTTTACATACTTATTTTCGATTGAAAATAATGTTTAAATAATTTTCAATGAGTTGACCCCGTATCCTTCATACGAAGGGAAACAACTCCCAACAAATCCATTTTTTTGCCGTTTGGCGTTTGTTTGGTTACAAAAGCATGACTTTGAGATACATATTTCGTCATTGACACGAACGGCTCATAGCAAGTAATTTCCCTCGGTTTTTTTTTTCAGAACTGCTTGCTGCCCAGCATCTACCGTAAGTGCGTTTATTTATTATTTAGATCTAGGTCTAGATCTAGATCTAGATCTAAACGTTGTCGTTGTCACTGACACTGTCATTACTGTTGTGTGTTTCTTGCGAGTGTCAGAGCTTTGTTGGGAATGCCGGGTACACATTGTTGAATCAACGATTTGACGATGAAGAGGACTTACCCTTCCGTTGTCAAGTCTACCAGAGATCAACCTTGATTCTGTTGACCAACGACTGACCCGTTGCCAACGTCCATTCCATCTCCACCATGATCTCAAACTAGATCTCTAAGATTTCTAGATTTAGCTTCATATGAATGAAGTTGTTAGCACTTCTGAACTGCACTCTTCAACTTCAAGTAGATCTAGATCTAGATCTAGTCTAGATCTCATGAGTCATTCAATTTCCAGTGAAAATCTCGCTTACTCACCCTGACTAGATCTAGAATCTAGATCTAGATCTAGACCTAGACCTAGATCTACCCTTTTTACCATACACACTTTTGTTTTCTGCTTTGCTGACATTTTTCATTTTATAAACGAAGTGACTATTCGGACTCGAGTCCGATATGAAAAAATGTTATTCGGACTCTGATTTTTGTCCAGCATGACATCATTTCTGACTTCCTGTGACTCGTGACTCCGGCTTCCTGTCCTGCCTCACTCGTAACTCGCCTCAGGCTGGGTAGAGACCGTGATCACTTTGGGCAAAATGACTATTTGTGCGGGAGCCGATTTTTTATCTTATGTTGAATTTGAGGCCAGCCTGAAAAGTTATAGCGCTTAAAGTAAATAATTATTTGTCAAAAGGTCTTCAGAAGCAATTAAAGATGGCTCGTTAGCGTGTGTCGGGGTCGAATGGGCGGCCTGCACACGTGTGGCTGTGTGTGCGTGTCGGGGAGGGGGCACTAGCGGTCCGGGCATTGAACGTTGCATACGAGTCAGTCTTTTTTCCCCCCGGCAACTGATCATTGTTACAATAATAAGCTAGTCTTGACGTAGATCTACGTAATGAATTGTGCGCTGGTTTATGGAATCAAAAGTTGCCGTATGCTCGTCTCTACACAGCAACACAACTTTTTCTTGGTAAACAATCGAGATGACACAGGCTTGTGTATTTGAACGAATCTGTCTTTTTTTCTACACACAGCTCGTAATATGCAGGCATTTCAGGCACTACTTGTGTAGCAATGCCCACTGAGCGCGTTTTGTTCTGCCGATTTTTGTCCCCCGCAGCGGGGGTGTTTCGTGGGACGCACTAACGCAAAGTTTGTTGTCTTCAACTCGCTCTCACGCCGCTTCTCGTAAATGGATATGAATGAAACTTGGCAGCCAATCAGAAAAGAGGTCAATCTCGTAGTATGCTGTTTGTCAACATTGTACCCATCCAAGAAGTAGTCGAAAACGTTTGCGAAAGTGGTTGATGTGGTGCGCTTTGAAGATTTTTCGGAGCTGTGATTTGTCAAACTGACTGATACTTTGTACACCATTTTTCTTTATTCCCTTAAAATTTCGTACTTCTGTGTTTAGCGGTTTTCGCCTAATCTTAAAAAATGTGGGAGTAACTAAGGGATAAAGCGGCATTGCCGTTTGCGCGTGCTGGGTGAACGACCGGCGGCTGGGAAATTTCCACTGAATCAGAGTGACGTCATCAGCCATCGGTCGCCTCAGGCGCTACAAACGAGGCCCTGCTTATGTGAACCGGAAAGGGGGAGGAAGGATACACTTGGAAACTAAACAGGGGCCTTGATAACTTGCGTTTTTGTTGCATTTTAGTCAATAGATGTAGTCATTTTTATTTGCTTGATTGTATGACAGAAGAATAGAAACAGAAAAGCAAACATCTTGAGAAGTGGTATGGCATTGTGTTTGCATTTTATGAAAGCCTATTCCCCCCTCTTGGGAAAGCACACACTTGGACTCGTCCTGTGTGCTCTGTTTGGAAAAGTGAGGCATTAAGATTGTTATTAAAGAGTATGGTACTTATTTAGTCCAGTCTGGGAAGATAGTCCCGTTTATACATTGTTATCGTTCACGCGTGCATGTGTGTGTGTGTGTGCGTGCGTGACAGAGAGAGAGAGAGAAAAGGGGGGGGGGGGTGTAAATATGTTACATTTATTGTATAAGTTGTAGCCTACATATGCGAAATATTCCCATGACTTGTAAACTATATTATCTGAACGCGTCTTAATCTACCACACAATAGGACACTATCCAACAATGGATACACAGAGACGATCTTATTTGTAAACTATATTATCTGAACGCGTCTTAATCTACCACACAATAGGACACTATCCAACAATGGATACACTTTTTGTGACAAATTGATCCAGAGCGCATTGCTTGGCAAGGAGGAACCTTTTATGTTGCCAAGTTTCATTAATCCAGCTCTCTACTTACTTTTTGTGACAAATTGATCCAGAGCATTGCTTGGCAAGGAGGAACCTTTTATGTTGCCAAGTTTCATTCAAATATCATGACTTTGTGAGAACATATATGATTGATAATCTTTGTAAACCTGTAAAGAACGCCACTTTTTTACCTGTTAATGTCTTTAAAACTCAAAAAGTATGACAGATAATAAAAATCTGACAGCATGACTAGATTCTGCATTAAAAAATGTACTAGACTGCCAAGTTTCATTTACATATTCCAAGAAATAGGCGAGCTATGACAAATATTGTCTCGAAACGCACCGAAAACGGCCACATTTTTACCTATAAACGTCTTCATAACTCAAATAATAGGATAGCTATGAAAAATCTGAAAGCAGGACTAGATTCTGCACTAGAAAATGTACTGGGTTGCCAAGTTTCTTTTAAATACTCCAAGAAATGAGCGAGTTATGACGAATATTGTCTCAAAACTCACCAAAGAACGTCCCATGTTTTGGGTTTTTTCATTATATAAAAGTGTACCAAAAATTAATTGATTAAAAAATTCGTAACTTTTTTGTTTATTGATGGATTTCAAAAATTCAAAAAGTTACATGCTCTGTGAAGATACAGCTACAAAATGCACCTATTTGCAAACACTTTCTGGCAAAAAAAGGTTTTTCGTGGTCATTGCTAACTTGTGGCTATTACTTGCTCAGTGCTTGTAATTATCTACACAAAACCTCGTGTTTGCTATAACGAACACTCGGATTCAACGAGCTTTTAGGTCAAGCCCAATGACCTTGTTGAATCCGAGTTCCACTGTATAGAGTAGAGTAGATATTTATCTCCAGGCAAATCACTGTCGTCGCAAAGAGACATGGTGGCTTTAAGACGAGGAATCTCCTGTACAAAATTTGGACGATTGAACGATGGTTGGGAGACTCTGTCGAGAAATCAAGCGTGGCTTGATATTTTCTGTGCTATCATGTTCAGATTTGAGGGAGACGCGCTGTGACGAAGATTCATTTTGAAATTTGCTGCTGCGTAGAATTAAACTCAAGACTCTAAATTTTTAAAATAATTATCGAACGTCAAAACTGATTTCATATTCCAATAAATATTGGAAATATTTAGGAACAAGGGTCAGAATTCGGAAGGGACGTCATGCTGGACTCGATTCAGAGTCTGAATATAATTTTTGTTTCATCGGACTCGAGTCTGAATAGTCACTTCGTATAATATAGTGAAATCTGGGTGTAATATTTGGTTGTGTTAATTCATCTATCTACACTCTGCCTAATTGACCCCTTTTTGGTGGTTTCAGAAGTGATGTCATTCTGGACTCCATTCAAAGTCCGAATATAATTTTTGTTTCAATATAAGTTTTGTCCTAATAGTCACTTTGTACAGGAAAACCCGTGGACAAAAATTAATTAAAGTAGGCAGGGGAAAAAGCCAAACTTACTACAATGCCGACCAGTTTTTAGAACCAGAGAAATTGCCTTGTTTTTGCGAAAAAATGCCTAGTGAAAAGAGCTAAGAGGAGCTGCTGCATGAACAGATGCCCCTCATGTCTCGTTTATTGCTGCTAAAAAGTTTCAGATCCCTGTGTGTAGTACATTTTACGTACCAACTTAAAATAACTTAAAATAACTACCCATACAGCGATTTAGAAAAAAGAGCCGGAAACTTATGCTTTGCTTTTATGTTCTCAGGTTAGCAGTAAAGAATATTATTTACTGTGGCATTTATGTAACTAATTCATATGTTGTGTGGTTAATGTATTCATCAGGTCAGTCCTAGGTATGCCTTCTGAAAAGCCACAAGTTTCTAAAGCTGGAGGTGATTCCAGTAGCCCTGATCAACAGAAGCCCAAGTTGAGGCCATGCTGCGCCTGTCCTGAGACAAAGAAAGCCAGGGATGAATGGTAAAGTTCTCAGAATATGTTAAGTCCTCTGTTTCTTTCCCACAACGAAAAAAAATGAACAAAAATACAGTCAAACCCCCATTATGCTGCCACCCCCTCTCCCCTGTTATACCGTTAGGTTTTGCCAGTGCATAAATAGAAATGCCTGTATAAACATACACTTTGCCCCTATAGACCGCTATCTGCTAATGGTCAGATTTGCACAATCCTTCCTGAAATACTACTATAAATTTCCCCTGCAAGCGAACTGGCAGCCAGAGGTTCTCAACACACTGTGCATGGTAGCTGCACAGTGATAATTTCCCATTCTGTCACACACAACTCTGGGAGCTAGTACTTGTCCATTAGCTCTCTCTCCACCCATCCCACATCCACATCCTTGTCTTGAAGTTTACATGAAGCTTTGGTTGGGCAGTTCATGTAATTTTCAATTTGAATTGCTACACACACAATTAGAGAGAGATTCTCAACTCTTTACTTTAAATACATGTAAATCACCAACAAAGAGATATTTTTCAAACACATGTTGCTAAATTGAATAATAGAATAATTTCCCTTGAATTTATCAGTTACTGCTGTTTGGCAGGGGACCCATCTAGAAAAAGAACCCTGATATACCACCAGCCATGCTATACCTCCACTTTAATGTTTACCCCAGTTTGGGAGTATAATGAGGTTTGACGTTTTTGTCCCGACTACCATTACCAGTCAACCATCTATTGCAACTCAGCAAATGCTTGGATAACATCAGACATTCAGAGAAATTTTTCTCTAGTGATTTGTTGAACAAGTATGTTATAAATTCATAGAATGCAGCTAATTACTTGACTAATCTGTAGTCTAATCCTATAACAATAGATATATTCTAGCATTTTGTATTTCGAGTGACCAATAAAAAGACATTTCAGTCGCTCCCAAACATATTGCCGGCCCAATACTAGACTTGTGTGTTTGTGGACTGTTCTCTGTCTGATGTTTCAATATTGGGCCACGTTCTGGGTCAGGAATCAGAATAAAACTAGAAAAAGCTCAAGCAAAGAAGTGAAAGAAACTGGTCTTGCATTTATGTTTAACAATTATAAATCTTGTCTGCATAAATTTGCAATGCTTCTTATAGCATTAGGATCTTTGTCTATTCTGTCATGTTAAGCCTTGGCTGCAACCTGATAATATTCTTGTCTTCTTTTTGTTTGATGCTCAGTGTGATTGAAAGAGGTGAAGAAAACTGTGGAGACCTCATTGAGAAACACAAGCAGTGTATGAGAGATCTTGGATTCAAGATCTGAAGGAAGGTAGGCCCATTACACATTACGAAGTTCTGTATGTTCAAAACATCCTTTTTAAAAATCTTTAATTTCATTAGTACTTCAAAGTTAATACCAACATCTCTGCAGTGTAGTTGTTAGACACTTTGCTATTGTACTCAGGAGACTCTAGTTTGATTCCCGAGTGGGAAGAAATTTTTTATTGAGTGTCTCAGTCTTTTTGCTAGGATGTTGTATGCCTCTCACTGAGGTTGGCCCTGACTGGCAAGTTTAATGATCTAAATGTTGTTGATGGGGGCATAGAACAACGTACATAAATAAAGACTATCCAAACAACTTTGAAGTTGATGGGTGTATAAAATGTGCAATCACAAACATAAGCAATCCACACACCATTGCTGGTCGCCACAATGCAGACCATAGATGCATTGTCTTTGAGCTAGAGTTATGGTGTCTTTTTAAGGATACACCCCAGGGACCACCCACCTAAACATCGCATGACATTATTGTCAGTGAAAATTGCTTTAGTGTAATGGAAAGTTATGGCTCAATTCTGAAGTATTTTTTAATGTAAACTGCAGAGGAAAGATTGATAGTAGTAAAGGCCCTACTTGCCTTGCTTTAACGTAGTACTTTCACTTTTTTACTTTTCATCCACTGTTGCTGTTAAGCATTGAGGGGAGATGCAGTCCTCTTTGATAAGCCAACCCTGCAGCTCTTTCAGTTGAGCCTGGCGGGTTAGGTAACATTTGTAACAGGTGGCCAAACCATTAAATTCACTTTTTTTTCCCCTATGAAATACAGGCATCGAACAGTTGCTCTTATATTTTTATTTCTGTGCCTGTCTCTTCTTGCAATGTTTAGGGTTATGCGGGTGCAGGTAGTGATTTTGTTTTCTTCGGTTGTACTTAAGAACAGGTCAGGTTCCGGTAACATAATGTTGGTTTGAAGTGATAAACTGTCTCTTTGCTTCTGTGGAGATGTTTGGATGAAATAGGGGTGCGAGCTGAAAGGTGATAGCGTTGATGGCTTTTTAAGTTCATTTTTCTATTTCTCTATCTATGGACCAGTTTTCAGAGAAAATGCTGCCTAGATATTTAAACTCTTTGACCTGTAGTAGTTGTTTTTTATTCATATTAATATTTAAGTGACTGTTAGTATTGTTTCGGATAACTTTGGTTTTTGGTATGCTTATTCTCAAGTCAAATTTCTCGCAGCTGATGTTCAGTTTGGTAGTTTCACCTTGGAGACTGTTTGTTTTGATGAATAAGACATTAGTTGTCTGCAAACAAAAGTTCATTGAGGCTTTCTGGGCTTTGATTTGCATCTTGCGCTATCTTGTCCATGTATGTTATGAAAGGAGGCGAGATAAAATGCTTCCCTGTTGTGCTCCTGATCTTACTTCGAACCAGTTTGTGTTGCCTTTATTTTTTCTTACTAAAGTTCTGCTTTTAACTTAGTAAATTGTTCAATAATAATAACTTAATTTTGTGGAACTCATATTTGAAATAGTTTATTTTACCCCATTGCATATTCTTTTAAGCTTTGATTTAAAGGTGTGATCTCCAATTTGACTTCCCTCTGTGCGCGTGGAATTAGTTCATTGTTACCACAAACTAAAAAGGGATCCCAAGACATGGTAACTTTCTCGGATATGATGTCTTTCGAGGTATAAAAATATAGTAAAGTTCATGAAAGAATGTACGAGGGGGAGTCAAAAAATAATGCAAGTTCATTTATAACTTAAAGAAAAAAGAACGCACTGGCAACTATCATTCCTCAAATTAAAGGGGACTATCTGAGGATCAGATTTCTATTTCTCAACATAGTCTCCATTTTGATCAATAGCCACTGTCCACCCTTTACTAAGTCTACATATGTCAACTTCGTAAAACTGAGCAGGTTGGTCGTAGGGGTACAGCAGTCTTGAGTTTTCTAACGTTTCCGTAGTGTTGACCTCTCGATGGTTCTTTTCTAGGTTCGAAAGGGTGGAAGTCTGAAGGTACCAAATCAGGAGAATAAGCTGGGTTTGGCAGTGTTTTCCACCTTAATGGGGTGATTGTCTCCCTTGTTTGGGCACTGTATGCAGGCAGGCATTGTCATGTTGAAAAAGAACCCTCTTCCCATTCTTTGGTCTGACTCGTCGAATTATTGCTTTCAGTCGTTTCACTGTTTCAACGTAGGCTTCAGGATTGACTGTTGTTCCTCGTAGTAAAAAAAAATATATGAGAAACAGTCTATGAACATCCCAAAACACGGTTGCCATGATTTTTCCGGATGGTTCTTCGGTACGATGCTTTTCTGACAAGCATGTGGACACCTCTTTCTCTTCTGACGGTACATTGCTTGCTATAACGTCTAACCCACATATATACAGTGCCAAAATCTAGGGGTTAGTCCTTGTAAACATTTTGACAAGAAATTCAATTGCAGCTCTTTGCGTCTGACACACCTCCAAGGGGGCAGCCATTTTGATGTGACGTCATTCAGACATAAATCAAAGGAACTTAAAATTTAACGGTTTGAGTTCCAAAGTAGGCCTACATGTGCAAGTACTTGTGAGCTGAATTTAATATAATTTGCAAAATTGCGCAAAATACTGAACAACTTGCATTACTTTTTGACTCCCCCTCGTATAAAGGAGGTTAATGAGGTAGCTGAGTTCCTGTATACTATTTTGGTATGAATTATGATGTTTGTATATTTCTTTTGGTATCATTTTCCAGATCCTCCACTGTATGTGCACATCTGTGATTCTGAAGAAGATGGATGAATGATAATTGTCTGTTCCTGAAGAGCTACAGCTGAGATGACTGCTGAAATTGACTTGACTAGTGTTACTGTTGTAATGTTGCGAAGTTTGTGTTCATTGAACCATTGCGTTTTGTTGGATCTTTGTTGATAGATGCAATGGTTTATTCATATGATTGCAAAACTGATTTGTATGCATCTTGTGAGAATGTTTTACTGCTTGTTTCATCTTGTAAATAAATTTTTACTGCTCTTTACAGTTTTCAGTAGTTCCTTTCATTTTTTTCTGTCCTATTTATGAATCTCTGTTGTTTTGACCGTAATATAGAGGCCTTTTTGTTCCATAAAAATACAGTGGGTGTCGCATTCAACGAGGTTGCCGGGACTGGCATATTGTCCTCGTTGGATCCGACCTCTCGTTGAATGTGACAAAGGCTAAAGAAAAGAAAGGAGACAAGTTATTATATTACTCGACGTACCAATACCGGTAATTAAAACAGCTGTTCCCCCTGATGACGAAAAAATCTCAAACAGCATCAGTATTTGTGTGTTTGAGCTGTGTTCTGACTGTCATTTCTGCATTCTTAAATATTTTTTCCAGAACACTTCTCGTGTGGAAACATACCCTCTCACATCTAGGCCTAGATCTACATCAAGTAAAGGCGGGAGCTTGGATTTTCTGATCAGGGGAAGGAAAGAAAATTGAAAAAAATGGTATCGATCTAGACCTACCAATCCAGAGTTCATCCAGTTTCACACAGTCCGCATCGCGTATCCACCCACCCCCTCCCATCCTTACCGTAGGCTAACCCTTGTCCATCGTCTTGGCTTTGGGGCCCATATTAGGAGGCACACTGGATCTAGCAATAATACATTGTGTAAGGAATCGATGATGGGCCTTGTGCTTCGTGTGAGATGGAGAGAAAGGAGAACAATTCTTCGCTTTTGGGGCCGCTAATTGCTTTTATTTGGTTATTGCGACCTCGTTGAAAGCGACTTCTGTCTGTTTGCCACCTCGTTGGAGCTGACGTACATTTACAAAGAGATATAGAGGAAAATAATCGGGGATTGAGGATTGCCTCGTTGAATGTGACCTCGTTGAATGAGACACCCACTGTACTCTTGCTGAAAGAATATCGTTCTCAAGTAGTTGTGTTTTAACTTATTTTAAAAACTTAGAAAGTTCATCTTATGATGAATCTTGCTCTCAAAGCCATACTGCTTGTGATGTCATGTAACATCTTGTGTATGGATGCAGACTTGGTTGACAGTGTACCGTCATAATATAATAAGTAATGTAATAAACCTCTTTAATCAGATTATGCTATGGTATGATGATGAGGGTTTTGAATGACTCTTTCAACAGAGCTAAGTTGTTATTGAAAGCGTGACTTCTGATTCTAACATTCAGGCTGGTTTGAGCAAATATGGAGACCTGAAAACCCCATTTATTAAAAACCCAAGCGAACTAATTTGAACTAATGTAATCTATGTCACATTTTGTGTGATACCAACAGAACTTCATGCAGATAGTGAAAATGAAAAAAGAAAGAGATGCCTGTATTGGGAGAAATGTTGTGGGTTTGTTTTGTTGAATTTGATTACAAACACGTTTCAATCAGATTCTTGTGAGTGTGTTCTTGAAACACTTGTACCTTGGTACTAACTACAGTGGAACCTATGTAACACGGCCAGGCGTTGTCGAGGAGAAAAGTGGCTGTATAAGACAGGTGGCTGTCACACACAGGACTGATCAAAATGAAGAAAAGCCAATTACTTCTGAGGTCCCAACTGGGGGGTAGTTGCAGGCTCAGGGCTGTTACGGGTAATTCAGATGTTGGGTTGTTGTTTTTTTTAAAGGGGAAGGGGATAGGAAGGATTTTGTGTTGGGATTTTTTGTTGTTGGTTTTATTCATTTTTTAAATTATGGTTTCGTGCAAGTTTAAAACAGAAACAAAATGTGTTTGACAAGGAAGACCGAGTGCTATAGGCTATAGTACTGTAAAACAAACAAATGGGTCGCTACCACTTGGTAAAGAAGCGACACTTCTGTTGTGAGTTATTGTTGACATCCATTGTTTTGGACTGGGTTTACAAACTGGGTAGGGCTTAACAGTAACAGTGACCTCTCATTTCACTTACGATTTTTGTATGAGTTGTGGACGGGGTCACCAGAAGCTGAAAATCTATTGTTACTGGTTGGTCAACTTGGGCAAACATTGGGAGCAACCTAAGCAACATGATGATTGGGAGGACTAACGTTCAATAACAACAGGTGAATGGATTATGATGAAAGCTCGTCCACAATGTCAGAGGCTGATACTGATACATAATTTATGACAAAGCGTCAGGATCGGGTGATGAGAGTTTTTCATGGCTGTCTCAGACATGTATTTTTGGCTTTGGTTGTAAGTTGATAAAATATTTTGGCCACAGCTGCGTTGCAAAGAGGCAGCACAACAATCTTTTGATGAGGTATGCTGCATTCTGTTCTCTGTGTAATGTTTACAAGCAATAAATTGCTCACAATGTTTTATTTGAATTTTCTGTTTCGTTGTATGCTCAGTTCTCTGCTCGTTCAAATCCCCACCCATCCCATCACTAGGATGTTACCAATGTTTTAAAAGAAAGACAAATGTGAGGCATTGTGCGGAAATCATGCACTGGCCAAAACAATGAAATGAAAGAAACCAGCATTTTTTTTTTTCGAATTATCTAATTTGGATCAACGGCTTTTATGTCCTTTTAAAAACATATTTCTGTGTGGATTTTACTGAAAAACGTGGTCAAAAGCACAAAAATTGTAAATGTGCATTTTTCAGTGACACTCAAACTCAAACTTTGGTGGCCATTTTATTGCTAATTTTACTGTTGACACCAGACGACTTCTACCTCTTTCAATTGCAAAGGTTAGCACCTTTATAAAATTCAAGGTAGATGGGTATTTTTTTTTCAACTAAAGTAAGACAAATATAGACAAATTAATGAACAAGGTTTTAAGATGATTACAATAAAAAATATAGTGCATTTATGTTGTGCATTACAATTACATTCATAAGATATCACATTTTTAAATTATCCGACACGTATGTGCGTAAAATAATATTTTATATTTTCTATGTGGAAATTACTCGCGCCATGGGCCTGGCAATTTGTGCTAAAAAAAATGTAGAATACAATAATTTAATATAAAAACTCACTAACAGTCACAATAAATCTGCACCTTGAATGGCTATATAGGAAAAATAAAACTTTGGTTCCTTATAGTCTATTAGAGATAGATAGAATATCATTTTCGCTTCTTGAGGTAGTACGTGTGGCCAACAGTCAGGGTCGAGAAAGAGCTTAGCGAATACAGGCCAGTTCGCAGAGGAGTAAGACAAGGTGTGTCTAATCTCCGGATTTCTATAATCTGTACAGAGGAATGATACTGCTTATCATAAGTGATTTGGAAGGAGTCAAGGCGGGTGGCTACAATATAATCATAACCAATGGTGTGCTGATGAAATAGTCTTGATAGCTGATTCTGAGTCCATGTTCCTAGAGATTCTAACAAGAGTGACATATATTTTTTGAAAAGCGAAAGGAAGGGGCTACAACTTGCATTATTACACAAAAGATGCGAAAAGCGACTCGCTGATAAAAAAGAGGATTGCAAAAATCTTTTATAGAGAAACTTTTAACAAGATGAAACCTGTCTTCTCAAACTCAAACACAACGTAGCGTGAACTCAAAGATAAGAACCCTGAAAACGTATGGGTATGGCCGGTCCTTTTGTATGGATGCGAGAGCTGGACTCTTAAACAAGAACACAGAGAGAAGTCTGTAAGTCACCAAAACGTATTTCATTAAGGAGAATACTCAGCAATCTCATGGGCAGGGAGGAAACAAGATACGGAAGTGCTCCAAATAGCAGGTTATGAAAGATCTAGAAATAGAACAATCAGAAAACACTCCAGACCTGACACCTGAAGAAGAATGAGAAGTAAATGGAGACCTATTTGATTTGTGAGATTCAGAATGTACGCATAAGGTATGATATACATTGTAACTACATGTGCATCTTATTATATAACATGACTTAGTTTGATGACTTCTGAGTAAATAGATATTTGTTGGGGGTTTTTTTTGTGTGTGTACAGATGACATTGTCCAGGATGGTCATCCACTGGCAAGTAGAAAAGTGGTTGTCATAGACATCTTGGACAGTATCGAGTATCATTATATAATAAGGGAGAAATGTGAAGTGGTCATTTGACAGGTGATTGTCTTGGACAGGAAGCAGTTGGAGCAGGTTCAATTGTATTTCCTATTTTAACCCTATCCGTACACCCTGGGGTCATTTTGTACCCCTGGGGTTGTATTCTTTACATTTTAGAATACTTCTAGTACGAAGATCTATTTGAAACTTTTAGCATTTCTCAAAAAAATCATTTTGAGAGATTGCTATGAAAAGCGTACGGATCAGATTAAAATTAAAGAGTAATTTCCTCTTTGGAAAGTGGTGGCACAGAGTTCCCCACGTCATATTGATACGATAGTAAAACATGATGTACAAATAGGGTTAATAAGCTATTGTAACTTGATAGGTTAGTTCACTGTATTAATAAATTAGTTTATGTATTATAATTTAGTGTATTGTTTTGAACAAAATAGTTGTCTTGGCTGCACTTGGTTTTCTCTCAGTCTGGCCCACTTTGAAAAAAGTTTGGTGACCCTTGGTGCAATGGTAAGGCTCTTCACTGTTGCACACAGCTAGCGTAAGTTTAATTCTCGAATGGGAAAGTGTGTGCTACCATGTATCTCCTTTCTTTTGCTGAGGTTAGTTACAGCATCCTAATCGTGGGTGGTTGGCGGGTGCTCTGGTGTGGTTTGCTTCTTCTTTTCTATCAAACGTCCATCGTCTTTATTTCCCCTCCTTCTTTTTTGTGTTAGTTACTCTCTAGTAACACCTCGAATCTTCGACACTTATATATGACCTTTTTGCGTTGCAAGTGCCAAAACACTTACTACTAAAAAAGCATCCTAATCCCACTTACTAATTCTAGGTTGGTCCTGACAAGCAAAGTCAAAACAGCCACCTCCTAAATTAGATCTATCTAAATTGTGTAATTGGGGGCACAAAACATGTATTTATATCATAATCAAAGAGTCAGACTAAAAAAAGCAAGGGGAGTTCAGTGGCTTAAATTCCCCCTGGTTCCCTCTTCTCTCACTCTGTCATTGTACGTTGTTTAGGGAAGTCATCATATTTATTATTCCTTTCACAGTTGGATGTTACTTTTGTCTTTCGCCCCATGCCTTTTTCCTGAAATTCCTTCCTTTTTTGTCTGTCACATATGGAGATGGCCTTTTGAAGTGGTTGGCATTCTCCAAGATTCTATTTTGGAGAAGAGTATAGCCCCTGTAGATTTTCCTGGTTCCTCTTCCATAATTGTTACATATACTTAAAGTATGTTTTCTTTGTTTTTGTATTGTAAGTGTTTTACAGCGCTCGCAACTGCATAAGTTCATAAGAGCACGTGGGACACTCTAAACATTTTTAGTTGGTAGGAAATTTTGAATTTTGCCTGGGTGGCGGCCAAAGCCTACTCTTATAGATTTTAGACCACAGAGGGATCTTTAACGTGCGCAACTTGCACACGGGACCTCCAAGATTTTTTGCCCTTGTCTGAGAAGGCTAGGTGTAGATCTTTCCTACCAGAAGATCAGGGGTGTAGCTGAAAGACAGCAGTAAGGAGTGCAAGGAGTAGCAGTAGAAAGGCTGCAGAAAGAGTCAGGAGCCAAGAGGAGGGGGCAAAGGAGGTGAGGGGGTGGGGGCAGAAAGGGGAGACGAAAGTAGACGACAGAACATTGCTACAGGCAGGAAAGCAGGTGAAAGTAGACAATTTTAGAGAAGAAAATTTTTTCCGTCACTACCTGGATTCGAACCTGGGACCATTGAATGAGAGGCGAACACCTTAACCTCTAAGCCACGAGAGTTCCCTACTTTAGGAGTTAGAGCCATGGCCTTTCACACTAAATCACACCAAAAAAAAAAGCTTTCATAATCCAAGTGGAAAAAGAATGGAAAGGCTGGACTCGAATGTTAACCGTCAGCAGATACACGTTATCCCGTTTCACCACTTTTTGATATTACTACTCAGAGCATTTAAATAATTTATTATTACATGGATTATCCTTGTGTCAAGCTCTTAGAGGTTGCAATGTTGCATGTAAAGTGTTCATCACATACTATATTTCTGAAAATGTACGCCCAGTTTGAGTGAACGTGAACATACAATTACAATAACAACTGTTTAAATATAGGGCTAGCGAAAAAAGCAAGATAGACAAAAACAAAAAAGGAAGAGTAAAAAAAGAAAATAGACCTATAGGTCCTAAGACTACTAAGGGTCCCCTTTTCAAATCTAGCTCTACTTGACTAAGGATAGAAGGCAAGAGCCTTTTTTCCCTCTGTCGCTGTGAGAGCTTTATATTTCAAAGAATTGCTCTTTTCTTTTATGACAAAAATAAACAAACTTTAGAAATAAAAGCTAAGAAAAAAATTTGCTGGATTTTGGTTAAATATAAATGTTTATTCACAACAAGAATGTAGCTTAGTTTTCAAATGAAAACATGTGTAGACCTATACAAATTGTAGCTTATGAGAAGAAAAACAACAACTTTATGATGCCTAGTTATACAAGTATGGGACACAAGAATGAGTGAAATGTAGACAGGTCTTTTTGAAATCGACCTAGTAGCTGGAGACTCTGGAAGGACTTTATTATCTATTTGTATATATATTACAACTGACGACATAAAAATGTTAACTGTAAGCCAGATTTAAAACAAAATTTCTTTGAAACAGCACAAATGTCACTGTACACACATCAATTTAAATCTTGACAGCTATTTCGCATACATTTTAAATGTTGACGACTTCAGAACCAAAGAAGCCTATTTAAAGAACAAAAATTTTTCGTCATCATCAGTATTTTTGTGTCTGTAATAAATCAATATTATTGTGAACAACATCATTTCCCCTTCCCCATTTTTATTTTCTTTCATCCCCTTCAACCCTGCGTACGACAACCCTATATCTATAAAAGCAGAGCTCTTCGAACATGCTCTTTCTTCTCTGGGGTAAGAGATGTGGGAAATTCAATGTCAAACTCGATGATCAAGTCCCCTCTGTCACATGGTGCAACCACCAGAGGCATTCCCTCTCCGGGCACAATCTTCTTGTAACCGGGTCTGCGGAACAGAAAAAGGCAATTTTATAATTCTCTTAGAACAATTTTCCTTTTTGCAGTCTTGTTTATGGGAGAGGTATAACAATTTTATATGTCTCTATTGGCTATATACAGTATACAGCTCAAGTTTTTCATAATCTGCTATGAAAGGATAATGACACCAATTTGAGTAAAGGGGTAAAGGCATGTACTTTGTTTTGGCAATGGTTTAGCTGAATTGACACACAAGTTGACCTTGTTGATACTGATGATACTCTACTGTGCCAGTGTCTCGGATGAGATGGAAAATATTCTATCTGAAGGGAAAATCCCCCAAACATATGATCCTTTCATCTCCTTCAATTAAGCAGTTCAGTGAAAATTTCAAATAAGCTTGGATATTTTTTTTACAAAAGCTTGAAAAAAAAAAGGTCTTGCCTTCCAGGTAATCATGTTTAAAAAAAAGTGTAAATAAACTTTAGTCGTTCAAAAAATATGAACATTTTTGTGATTAAAATTTTGCCTTGATTTGGTCCATTTTTTGCACCGGTTTTTGTGCCAGAATTAAGACACATTTTAGACAAAAAAGTCATTATTTTGATAACCATCCAACAGATTTACATGTATTACAAACCAAATTTTAGCAAATTGCAAATGCTATTACAATAATCAAATTAAAAACATATTCTTTTATTTCTTATTCTTCCCATTAGCCAGATCATTTGTCAAGCTGTAGAACTCCCCCCCCCCCCACCTTCCCATAGTTAAGTTTAGGCTTTTACTTGTTTATGTTGGAAGAGAATGTTGACCTATCTCCCATGGAGCTATGTCATTATTTCTATGACAACACTCGGCTAGCTTAGTCTAGAAATCAACATAAACAAATGGGGAGCCATCATTATTGATGCAAAAGAAATTAAGTATCTGAACCACATGAAGTTTTGCTCAGCCATCTTTCTTCCACATACATGAGTAAAGGAAATCGTAAACACATCTAATATTTCATAAATTACTTTAAAAATCAATTTAAAAGGTCGAATTCAAGGAACACCAAGACTCCCAAAAGAGCATGGAAGCATGTGACGTCACCGTCAGCTAAGCCCGGCCGGGAAGGGAAACATGGGTTTCTTGTGTTCGGCGGTAGCCTACCTATTGTCGAAAACAAGAATGGCTTTGCGCTTGAATTAATTAAAATATTTTAAAAATTAAACAGTAGCAAAATGGAGTATTTACATACACTGGTTAAGTCTCGAGAAAGCAAGACAAATGGATTAAACTTTACATTGATCTAACATTTATCTCATTTTCGCAACAAAATCCTTCCACTTCTACTGCATCAATCTCAACATGGAAAACACTATATTTTTAAAGCTCAGGTTTTCCTTTTTAAAATGATATGCCGGAAGTCATGAGTATTCACAAAACGAAACAAAACAGCAAGTAGTTTCGGACTCACCCAAAACGCGACCCAACATGACCGAGATAAAAAATTAATGAGGCACTGCAGTGGGGATTCCCATATGGGCATTTGCATTCATTAAACTGCCTACTTCAATGCCATATTGGCATACCTCTGTCCCCATAGAATTATTCAAATTTAGATGGCTAAATTATGCAACAAAAAAGCAAAATTATGCAAAAATTATGCAAGTTACCGTAGCACCATTCGCGACATGTTTTGCACTTTTTCAACACGAATTTTCATGATATTCATGTTTTATGCACAGAAAAATAGAAAACAGAACATATCAGTATCAGTAATTTGTTGTGTATTTGGAAAGAAAACAATACCCATCAGCCAGAAAAAAACAACAACCAAAAATTATAATCTCTGTAACTTTCAGCTATAGATATCTAGATTCTAGAGAGGAAAGAAAAATGAAAAAGAAAAAAAAAAAAAAGGACATCTGGACCTCTGATGGTGGCACATTACTAAAACAAGGGACATCTGTCAAACATGAAACATCAGCAGACATGAGAACAACAAGTTCAACTTTTGATGGATTGAAAAATTGAACATGCTCAAGGAACAAAATCCCAACCCATAACCAAGATCTTCTAACAAGGGAAATAACCAACTTATCAATTAAATGAGACTTATTACGGTGATAATTTCCCTTTAGAAACATGGCGAGGCGTTAGTTAATTGTTTTGTGTAAAAAAAGGAAAAAAACGTGAAAAAACGCGGGAAATCAAAAATTATGCAAATGTTGCAGAATTAAGCGAAAAAAAGCACAATCGCATAATCCTATCGGGACAGATACCAGGTCAGTGTACGCTACACCATGGAATTGCACCATTTCCAATTTAACCCACATCTTGACATCAGCAAAATGCAAAAAATGCTGTATAAAAAGAGTTAACTAGATTATGGTGCAAATAATTCATGGAGACTTCATAACACTGAGGAATTTGTACCCTGGGTGTGTCCAAATATTTCTTTCCATCATCTTTCCTTTCCCGCACACTAAATGACCATTACAGGGTTGGTTTGCATCTCTTTCACTCAACCCTGGTACTGCAAGAGATACTCACTTGACAATATCATTGATAGGAATGTGCAGAATTCTCTCATCCAGCGTATGAATCTCTACTGTGCATCCGGTCAGGGCTTTGCCAAGAGGAACTTTGGCAGTGTGGATCAGGTTGGCACCTTCACGACAGAACCTGGGGTGAGGTTTGTCCTTCACAATAAAGACGATGTCAGCTGAAACATGAGAAATAAAATATAATGTTATATTCTTAAATTATTATAAAGGTCCTTAAAGTTTACTTGACAAGAGAAAGGAAAAATATAATGCGCATTGGTATTAATTCATCTACTGAATATTCAAGGGTGTCATGTTAGAAATTAAGTACAGTAGTCTCCGCCTATATGCTGCACACAATACAAAAGTATGTTCCACTCAAAAGTATGGTTTCATTATATGACAGGCTTTAAACTATACAATTAAGACATACAAACACATGTTCACTTCTTCTAAACGCACGCTTTAATCCGCAAAACACGTCAACAGGTAAAGCTTGACAAGAGGAGAAATTTTTGCTGCTGCCTGCACAGCTTGCATAAGACAGGTCTAGACAATTGGATATACTTGTTGAGACTGACCCTCGCACAGAACAAAGAGAGTGATTGACAGTGTTTTCATACCCAACTGTCCACAAACTCATAGATCTAGGTCTCGGACTGGTCGGGTGATATGTTTGGTGGGGGTGGGGGGTGGTCATGGCTGAAATGTCTTTTAATTGGTCACTCGAAATGTGTCTTTCAAAGAAGGTTTCTGATTGGTGTTTGAGTGACTGCATACGTAATGTTTAATTAGTTCTATGAATATGATGCACAGCACTCGTGAATGCTGTAGAACACCAGATAGGCCTCTATATATAGGATTAAAGACTATAGTACGGTCAAAAATTCATGGCACCACTTATTGTAAAAAATTTCCTAAAATATCGAACATAGACTCTCCAGCTTTAGCACAATGACTTGTATCTTTGTCTTAACAGATCAATATTTTTGTAAACACCTGTTAACTGTATTCTAGAAAATTCCTTAATAAATACTAATTAAAAAATCAAAGTGGGTGTTCCTGCAGATTTTAAAAGGTTTGCAGCTAGGGCAATATTGTTTTTAGAAGCAAGATTTAGTGCAAAAAAATGAGTTCACCATAAAATTTATTTCTTTTTGCAAGTTTTGCCAATAAAACCTGTCATTGGTGAGCTGTGACATAGGCCATATATATACGTTTGCAAAATGTGTGTGAGAAATGAGAAATTCTGTGAACAATCCCATTTTCTGCATGAAAGAGATTTATAGTATTTTATATAAATTTATGAAGAAAAGTTTTAAATTTAGCCTCAATTGTTGTGAAAAAACATTATTGTTAAGTTAAGACATATTGATACAAACTGCTGTGCAAAGTAGGGAAGACATTGATTCACCTGTTAAAGAGAGAGATATTTGAGGGTAAGTTGCGCCACAACTATTTGACTGCACATAGTCAAGTAATCAGCAGCGCTTGAAGAAGTAATCAGCAGCGCTTGAAGAACTTATATGTATTTGTTCAACGAATCACAAGAGAAAAGTCTCTTGGGATGTGTCATTCTGATGTCATCCATGCATAGATTTACCAAGTTGCAATAAATCACAGGCAGTTGGGAGTGGTCATTTGGAAAGCCATGTTGCTGAGGGCTTTTCCCTCTATAACTATCACCAACAGTTTCCTCTTATCAGCTCTCAACATTTCGCAGTGCATATCAGTACAATGAGTGCGTCCTTCTGCTTTCATCCCCACCCTTTCAACGCCTTTGTATTTGTAATTCATAACCGCAGTCTGGGAATTCTTCACAAAACAGTCATGTGTCATCTCATTATCGGCCAATTTAAAGTGACCCCCCCCCACCGGAAGTCACTAAAATATCAAGAAAATGAGATGATTGCGTCCCTTCTTTCATATTAACGCACACTCCATATAAACACACGCTTAAAATCCCTCCTGAACACTGCGTTTAGGCAGAGTCTTCTGTACTTTTTCTGAACAGACCATAAGCGTTGACTTGAAATGGATTCCAGTAACAATGTGGGATACTCCTTTCAAGACTTTATGATAGGTGTGTATACTCTTTTGGAAAGATACTCAAGGACAATGTAGACGACCAAGGTTCAATTCCCATACATTCTACCCAATCACTTTTCATTTGTAGGGCCTACATGAAAAATATTACGAATGAGAAAGTAGCTATCAATAGTATGTTCAAAGGGCCTACATTATGTTTCAGAAGAAAGTTTTTCTATGATCATAAAAGGCCTGCATATAGTTCAGACCATGAACCCTTTTTTTTCTTTCAACCTTTCTTCCATTTGAGTTCAAGTGAAGCAACACAACCAGCTAGTCTAGCTAATTGAAACATTAAATTGTTGTAACATACCTGGTACATTGTTGGGGCCTTGGTCACCTTCTTGAGGGAAAGTAATTTTTGTGCCTGGGCGCCAGCCTTTCTTCACTGTTATTGTGAGAATTTTGTCTCTGATACTTGATGTGTGACCATCTTCATTCATTACCTGTTTAGAAAAAAAAGGATCTCAGTTATACATATAGACCTAATGCACTCCATTGATTTTGTCTTTGTTAAGCATTTGTCATCTTGTTTTTATGTCTTGTTTAGCCTGATTTTTCTTATTTCCCTCAACGTCTTTACTGCAAGTCATGGATGGGAGTGTGGATTTTACAGAAAACCGTTGATTAAAGAACAAAAATGTAAATTTGCAGTATTCAAGGACCATCAAACTTTGGAAGTCACCATACTTTAGCGGGCATTTTCTTGCTAATTTTACCTTTTAAACAAGGCGGCCCCCACCTCTTTCAACAAAAAATATTTCGGCTTCTATTAAAAATAAGATGGATTTTTTTATTTATTGAAAGCTAGACAAATGAACAAGCTTGGGGTTGATACCAATAACTCTACATGCCCAAAAACTGACGAGCGTCTGATTCCATCGCATCGTGACGCAAATATTAAAAATTTATAATTTACCATTGAAAGCAGTACATCATTTTGCTCCATACAAAAAATTCTTTACATTTAAGTGTTGAGATAAGGCTTCATAAAAAGGTGTTTAATTTTTATTTACAGGTGTTCAATGTGTACAGCAACATAAATTTTTCCTTTTGAGAAAGAGAAGAATCTAAATATGAGAGGCTTAAAAATGTTTGTGATCATTCAGAAATGAATTATCGTTGTTTAAAGCTATTCAAAAGAGGATAACTATTTCTTCCGCAAACTAGCTCAGACTTCATTTTAAGAAAACATAACAAAGTGGAGTTAATCATATTTCTTCGTATAAAGTCAAACAGCATTATAAGCTAAGAAGAGAACAGTTTGCTCATATTAGGTTGGTGGATGTCACAAAACTTACCCTCCTTGAAATTTTCATTTTCTTTGTGCATCCATGGAAAACTTCTTCAAGACTAAGGTACAGGTCTCTCTCAATAGGTGGGTCCTGCTTTTTGGCACCTCGGCCATGCAGACCACCAAAACCCATGCTCAAGTCACCATCTACTCGATCGTGGAACTCTGTAAAAATTATTAGCAACATATCAATGATGGAAAATGGGTCAATTCAGAGGAAGGCTTCACTTCGGTCTTATTTTGATCATCCATATTCTTGAAACCTGGAAAAAAAGGATCCAAACGCACTTAAGTGGATTGTTTGCAGCACTGACAATATGCAGAAAAGATGCTACCCCTGTGCCCACAAGGCAGTGGCACAAGAGAAGCATTTTTTCCATTTTATCCCTTGAAAGTGGACAGGGAGACCATCTATATCACATAAGATAAGGCATCTGGAAGATACAAATATGATAAATATTAAGTAAGATATTAAAAGGTGGTGTGATGAGTGAAAAGTCAAGTTCATGGTGTATACAGTCTGTTATACTTCAAAAGTGAAAGTGGGGGGTTACATACATTTTTTTCTGATTTTTTCTTGAATTAACTTGAATTTTAGGCTTTTTTTTCTACTTTTGACAATCAAGAATTATTTTACTCTCACGTTTTCTACATCAAAAAATGATTTCATCATTATTTATCTAAAATAACAATACAGTTGTCACAGAGGGTTGGAAGAGAAACATTAACTTTTTCTTCAGGAATGTCTCTCACCCTGAAATGGGTTGTCTCCGCCAAAGAAATCTCTGAATACTTTTTCAGGGTTTCCATGGAAGGTGTAGCCACTGGTCCAGGCTCCGGCCTCGCCACTTCCAGCTGGGACACCATTCTTCAGTCCCTCTTCCCCAAACTGATCATAGACAGCACGCTTACGAGCTGCAAGATAAAGCAAATAAAATAAATGTTTTGTTAAAGTGCAATCATGAAATATGAAAAAAAAAGTTATAATTCAAACACAATGATCGCACACACATAATATAATTTGGGGATTATCCTTCAATTTAAAAATAAAAACAAATTCGTACAGCTTTTTGGGCATTCAAGCTGCATTCAAGCATTATAGCTGCATTACAGGGCAAAATAAATGGTCATTTCTGCATCAATTAAAAAAAAATCTTTGAACAATACAAAATTCAAGCCTGTGTATGAACACAAAATTTGTCAATGTGAAGAAAATCAACTGACGTATTTGAAATATATCAATTTCTAAAAATTTACACTAAAACTGAGTAAAATGCAAAACTTTACGATTTTTTCAAAATAAACAGTAGTGCGTATTAAACTAATTCATTCAAAAACGTATTGAACTCAGAGAAGAGCTGCTATAAAATAATCATGCTCCAGGTGTTAATTATTTCTCTCCAAGTTTTGAATACACTGCTAACGCTGGGAATTTTGAATAACCCTGTGGCATATGTTTCTTTGTCAGTGATTTGGACTGCACCTTTTCAACTAATGAATTTCAATTCTTCAGTTACCAACGTAAAGGAAAAAAGGGGGTTCAAGTCAGAGGAATCTGGCAACCATTCATTCATTCTGCTTATATAGTGTTCCTAAAATCTTTTCTGGCAACCATGCAAGATCCTGCTGGCAATAGCATCCTCATTACCCCCCTCTCCGTTTTAGACTTTGAGCCCACGCATATTTCTTCCCCCCCCCCCCCCCCAGACTTCTCCAAAACTTTCTCAGTGTGGTAAAATATCCACCTGGTGTAATGGTCATGTTTTTACTGTCCTCATCCTGAACTAGAATGCCCCTGCAGCTGAACCTGTTAAGTGTACACCCAGAAATCATTTAAGAAAAAAGCGATTATTTTTTAAGTTGCACACCAGTCTTTTTGAAATTTTACGCAGTATTGCCCTCCTAGTTCAAGTGGCTGCATGCATAAAATGAATGAAAACTGGGGGAAACATTGCACTTTGCATGGGTCCTCCTTTTTTCAAATTTGGACACCCTGTTTTTGTAATATCATTCTGGAAAGGTGCAATCCATTCTTATCACTTTCAATATGAAGGATGAATGTAGTCTGAGATTATATCTTTACACAAAAAAATCCTTACTGCTTTCTTATTTCGATCAGAACTTAGTGAACAGCAGTGAAAAGTTCATAATTTACTGTGATAGAGCCGACTATCTTGAACACCAAAGTACAGGAACATTAAGAGGAACTCACGGTCTGATAGCACATCATATGCCTCTGCAACTTGCATGAACTTATCTGAAGCATTTTGATCTCCAGAATTCTTCTCTGGATGATACTTCAAGGATAACTTCCTGTAGCTGAAATGTAACAAACAACAAAATAATATTAAGAAACAATTGTAGACTGGTCTGTTTGTCATATATATCACTTTAACGAGCAGAGGGAGAAAAAATAAAGTAAAGGTGAGACGGCCGGAGGGTAATCTAAATACAGGTAGGCTACATGAATCAGCTTGCACTTGTCTTCAAGATTTATAATAGGGGAGAGTGGGGATCGGGGCCTCTACACGAGGAGACTTCTGATATGTCAATTCTTACTAAACTATGGATAGTGCACATTTTGTCACAGGATCACATAATGTGTAATTTGAGGTTTAGCTTGCTGTGTTTTTGGCCACCTCACTGAGCAAAATCTCTGCTGTGAAAGAAATTGTGTTTTTGTCAAGGGTGTATCTAAGTTTTCACACCTCAGTTTGTTAGGTTTACACGTCAGAAGAGTGCACCAATCCTTTCACAAACTATGTGTCTGTGCTTTAGGGTATCTGTTTCAAGCCAAATTCATAAAATGAAACCTAGCTTTCATAATGTCTGTTTCAATAATTTCATGAACATGTTTCCTATACTACCCCAATGTAGGGATTCTCGACACTTCGTACAGGGGGTGGGGTGACTTCGTACACAGTCTGAAGTCTCCCGACGACTAATGTAAGAGTAGTTGGAATAAGAGTTTCCATAAAAATTGAATTTTAAACGTACACTGTAATCGGGTTGTTGTATTTCTCAGACTGAATCGTGTCACGGAAATATATATCTATAGAGCCCTAAAAAGAAAAGAACCTGTTAGTTCACAAAAAGATGAAACTCGCAATGCATGTACTTGTTAATGACTTACTGTCTTTGTATATATATATATATGTATATATATATATATATATACACAATATGAAGAAATCTACTCGGAAACATTCTATCTAAAATGGTGTGAAGACATCAGTGCGTTTTAGAGACACTCTTTTATGATTGCATAATTTTCCGATGATCCTCTGAGGAAAAAAATCTCTCGGAGTACATTGTTTGAAAAATATTCCAGGATGTTCTCCTAACCTGACATTTGTCATTATCATAATGTGTCACGGCAAACATTATAATTATGCCAGAAACATGACATATGAACAAAATCTAACCCAAAAAGACAGGCTTTCTGGCTTCTGGGTCGAAAGTGGAACCAACTTTTGTCGTAATTGAATTTGGGAATATTGGTGAGTGTATCCATCTCGTTGGGGAAGGGGTGTCAGAGAAAGACGAAGAGGGTGACTTTGAGAGTCTTCCCTCTACTAGGGAAATCTAATAAGAAAGCAATTCTTTCATCTATCGACCTGTGGAAGATTTGGCTATTGTAAAGTGAGACCAGTTATTCCTCCACTGATTTGAGGTTCAACAAAGAGAGGTCAGAAAGCTCCTATAAATTTGCAGTTAAAATGGCATCCATTAATGTTTCAATTCACATTGAAGTCTCCAGTGCCTTTATATTCCGACTTCAAAAGCTCTTTTCAAAAAGAAAATTATGATTCACTGTTTTTAAGCAGCAGACTTTGTTTCCCTTAGCTGTTTTGATTTGGTTGTGGAATAACTCTTCACGGACACTATAATAATTGTAAGGTTATTTGAGAAGGTGGATCTCCGAATTTACGTCCTTCTCAGTCAGGACGGGACAGGAGGCCATGAAAACTATTGAAAACCCTTCAAACAGCCCATTTTCAAGAACACACATACCTGGATTTGAACCAGAGGCCATTGCTCAGAGAGAAATAGTGATAATAGCTTAGTAAATAGAGCTCCTCGATCATTAATACCGTGCTCTCACCAAATCCAGACGTTGATAGACTCGGAAACTAACGAGGAAAAGAACACTTTTCATCTCTGTTTATCACTGCAAAAACTAGCTTGTTTATAGGGGCATTAGAGCTCTGTTTGACAGCAATAAGGGGAGATTTCAAGTCATCGCGTACAAATGTGCATAAAAGCGGGATGGTTTATATGGTTGGATCACTGTTTTCTTTGATTTCCAGTGAGTCTGAAATACATTTTCACACCTCGAACAAGATGTAAAAGTAAAGATCTATGCCAGGTCAAAGTTTTGCCTCTCAAAAATAATATTTGTGAGGCAACGTGGTGGAATCAGGCTCTTGTCAAAATAATCAAAGTGAAGAAACTTGCATTTTTCCGCAGGTTTGTGAATTTTTATCAAATTTTTGTTTTTTGGCTCAGCACCTTTCATGTTCATTCTGGGTGGATTTTTCTGAAAAATGTTGATTAAAAGCACAAAAAATGTAAATTTTCGGTTTAAGCTAAGGAAATAACTAATCTTTGGCGGCCATTTACTCTTTAATTTTTTCTCTGAAAACAAGCGACCCCCACCTCCTTCTTTTGCAAATATCTCGACTTGTATTCAAGATAAATGGATATTTTTTCATCCAAATAAGGACAAGTGAACAAGCCTTAAGGTAATACCTATAACTCTACATGTCCAAAAACTGATGAGAGCCTAATTCCACCACGCTGCCTCACATTTGATACATGAAACACACTGTCCCAAGTCATCCGTCTTCGTCCGAAGTTTCCTTCACTTTTGTCCGGTCTCCCACTGAGCGGTAGGCCTACGTTGTGTTGTTTTGGATAACTTAGGGAACCTTAGTAAAACGTGATGATGCACAAATAGCTGATATAACAAGTGGAGAAGCCCAAATGGCTTACAATAATGGTGAAACCTTTTTCTTTGGCTTAAATTGTTCCTGAAGCCAGCAGTGGAGCCAAACGTAAAAAGTGTCCGAAGCCTATCCCTGCTCTCCCATGGCCTGTATGAATATATAAAGGCGTATATAGTCTAAACAAACATAATAACTCTCTCAGAGAGAAATAGGCTGTTTCAATGTAAAATATTGCAAGACTGTAAATGAGGACTTATAAAAAATGTAATTAGGTTAGAAATGTTGATCAACATAGATCTATATAGGTAGATCTTTTTTGCGAGTTGTTAATATTTGTTTTCAGTTGACTTTAATTAATTTCTGAATTGCAGATGCTTTCATTTACTAGTAAATAAGACTTTGTTAGCTTTATATATTATTATTGTCAAATAAATGAATTTGTTATTGATCTAAGTTATAAGTTATAACGTGTCCTTATTTTTGGAGTACATCGACTAGGCATCTCGTGCTGACTTGAGCTTAGATAATTTAATGGGTTCCTTTACCGACCGATTTTGATTTGAAAGCACAAAAAGATGGCGTTTTGGCTAGGAATGACATATTGAGAGACTAGAATCAAGTGTACTTTTCTCACACTCACACAAGTGTTGGGCTTTAGTCGATATCGATATCGGGTACTCATCGATACTGGTTTTCTTAGTCGATACTCGATATCGCAGAGTCCCTTAGTCAATACTGATCAGTGTAATGAGTGTAGTGTTTGCCGCCTAATCTGCGTGATATCAGAGAGAAACGTGCTGTCTACGATCACCCGTCTTTTGTTTCTAAATAGGCTTAGTCACGTTCAGAAAGAAGAAGAGCACTGTTTGGACATATTTTGAAGAGCTTCCAGGAAACAAAGAGGCCAGGTGCCTTGTTTGTCACGACATATTTAAGCATCATGGGAACAGCACAAATCTCATGAAACATCTCCATGCCAAACATCTAAGCGAAAATGCTGCACTTTCACTTGACAAGGAGAAGCAGGGCGGTAGCAGCAGCGGTAGTGCTAGTCTGATAGAAGAGAAGAGGAGAGTGAAAAATAAAGGAGAAGGGTTGAAGGCTATCAGTTCACGACCTGATAAGGCTTGTGCTTGTATACGTTGGCAAAGGATTCTTAATTATGATAATCATAGGTCATAGGGAGGCACGTAATTACCATTTTGGCGTTTAGTTTATAATTTTGAACTCTTGTCTTTTAAATGAGTGAAAGGCTTACCTTTCTATTAAATTATTGTGCCCCAAGGTTACTTACTATTTCTTGATATCAGCATCCGATGCACTTCTGGTTAGACCAAGAATACTGTAGTAATCAACACCCATGGCTGTCTTCTTGGTGTGGTTATTTACAAGTGCAACCAACGAGTGACACTGTATGACAACAATATGGCGGCCTTAGATACCAGCCTGCAAAGCTACGAAAAAGTTTCGAATAATCACTAAGTTTGAGATATTGCATTTAATGATATAGTTCTGTTATTTTCCTTACTTTTCCAAACTTATTTCCCTTTTATAATTCAATATTTAGTCTATACAGGTTCCAGAAGCAGAATATTTTCCATCAATAATATGTACAAAAAATCCGAATCAGCGTCTCTAAAGGAACCTACCGTATAGAGTCCCAAGCAACCAGAAAACATGTCCGCTGTGCTGGACGCCACTTCTGTTGGCGATATCTAAATAACTTCAAATTGAACTTTCAAAGTCTCTTGCTGCAAATATTGAAAGATGGAAGGAGACGTATTTGGTGTAAGGATAATTCCATCAGTTCTGCAGTTCTTCAATACAAAGCCAAAGACTCGCTTTGAACTTCCCATCACTGTGAAAAATGTCAGTAAATCAAGCAAGAACATTCGCTATTATGGACCAAAAAGCGAGGTATGTTCCACCGTTAAACCCCACGTGAATTCTGACCCCTTCTCTTCGAACTGCCTTTCCAACTTTTTGCCGAGAAACCAAGCATAAATCTAGATCTAGTTATATTGTGAGCAGTTCATCAGAGATGCAATTACTTACAAAGAACTTATGTTACCGAAGCGCTACTTAAAATTGATAACGTTTGAATCATTTAAATTAGTAGGCCTAGATCATCTAGTACACTTTTAATAATAATGACTTTTGAGAGCTTATTATTTATTTATTTATTAATAATACTTATCTAATCTAACGTCTCTGCTGTATCTTCGATTACATGCTTAGAAGAAAACTCTGTCTGCACATTGTGCATCATTGTTAGAGACATGATGCTCAATGAAAAATCAATGCCTATTTGATGATTGGTGATCAGGGTATAGTAAAGGCCTGTATTATATTGTTTAGGCTTACATATGTACTGTCTGAGACCCCCTGATATGATGCATGCCGAGAATGGAAGCAGTGCAGCAGCGTCATGATTACGTTTACGTACGTAGGCCTTAGGCCTTGATTAACACCAGTGAAGAAAAACAGGATATTTAGACTGTGTTGCGTCTTGCTCTCTTAACACTGGATTTATGAAAATAATTATAGGCTACACAGATATATATGAATAATATGATAATGATGGACTGGGACTTGGATACAAATATTCTTAATGATTTATATCAGTCTCGAATAGTGAGAGGAGACAAATTTCTAACTTAGTTCATGGTGAAGTCGTCTTAATTATTTCTTAACACTAATTACACTTTGCTGGGCAGTTTAGAAAAATTCAACTTGTCAACATATTATATAGCTTTTAGTCTAAGTTTTCTTTTAGATATATAACACTCATAATGTGTCTTTTAATTAGGCCTGTGTCAACCTTCTGATAATTTTGTGATATTTCCATTGTACTAAAATAATTTTGATATTCTATGATTAATTTGTTCCTTTTCTCTAAAAAGCAAGAGGATACATACATGTAGTTGGTTTTAAATTTCAAAATAACAAAAAAAATCCAACCTGTTCTTAATTGGTGATATTGTATTGTCTAAGGTATTTAAAATGACTGTCCTTCCTTTCACTGCAGCTGGATCTGGAAGATGAATTTGCTCCCACTTGTGCAACTAGTGTAAAACATTTCTTTTCATTTGTTAAATTGTAGTTTCTGTTCAGAAATATTTATTGAAATCTATTTCTATTGAGTGTGTGTATGTTGGCTGCATGACTTAAATGACTGCTTATCTTTACGAAAAATATGTAAAACGTATATACTTCTTTGTATATATATCGCTAGCCGCATGATTCAACCACCTAAGTGACAAAATTTTCGAAAATCAGATTTTGATCCCTTTATGTAGTTCAGCCTTCGATACACCTTATGTTAAAATCCCGAGTTTGAAAGATTACTGCAAAGTGTTTTTATCCTTCTATAAGTCAATCGCCTATATCACACTCGTCCCCAATTTCCACGTGATTCAACCGCCCAAGTGCCAGTTTTGCAGCCCGGTGACGAATGGGCGGTTGAATCACGCGGATTCAGCAGCTTGTTGAGGTGTTCACCTGTCGCGTAGGCAGAGCGACCCACACGACTTGACCTTTGCCAAAACAGACTGGAGAGTAACATCAAAACAAAGTGCTGCCTTTGTTAACTTCGACTCAGGTCAAACCATATCGATAGCAAGAAGATTTTGTCAAGGCAGTTTGTGTATTCTTTCAGTAGGTTTGGTAGTGTAGTTGAAAAAGGGCAAGATGGCATCAAAGAATGTATGTTTATCTGACTCAACCAAGTCGGTAAATTGTGGCAAAAGCTACTGACAAATTAATTTTTAAAAAGTCTATGATTAACAGTTAAGGGGCGCTTATTTCACATTTGGTACTACCATTGGAAAATATTTATGTTTCGCAACTTTTCTCATTTTAAATTTACTTTAAGCGTGGGCCCCTTGCTGTGTCTGTTGTGGACCATTCTTTAATCATTGATTAGTTAATCAGTGCCAGGTTGATGATACTTACTTTGTCACTCGAAAAAAAAGCTACTCATAAACATATTCGCCCCGAAAATTCTCTTTGCAACAAGCCTTCAACTTCAACTCTACAGCGCTATTTTTCAATTTAAAACAAGTCCCATACATTCTTCTTATATACAAAACAATGAGTTTGTATACAACTGCCCTCACACAGTGGTTATTCCTGACTGTTGCAAAGACAGCTAACATGACTTGGAGATGGGAGCTCCACGATTGTCAAGTTATCAGAGAGCAGAAGAGAACAATCAATTTTGTGATAAGTAATTCTTCGACAAACTTGATGAAATTGCTTTCCCTTTACAACAGACAGAAGATGTGCAATTTTATCTGGACTAATTCTTTCAAAGCCTCAGAGGCCTTTATAGAGAGTGCTAAAGAACATGGAAACAGTCATACATTGTCTTTGACAACTTTAGAGAGATATTGTTGTTGTATGTATGTCGGAAGGATCAGTGTGAAGTATGCGGGGTAGGAGAAAGAATCTAACAAGAAGCTTGCACAAAACCCAGTGGATTGGACCCGATTATGTCTAGTGTGCATTAGTGCTGGGCGGGAATCGATTCGATGCATCGATACCCCGATACCTTTTTGGTATCGGAATCGAATCGATACGTTTGAAAAGGATCGATACATCAGGACTTATTATTCCCAGGCAATTCACTGATCCTAGGATGATATATTCGAAACATCAGGTTAAAAAAAGAAACGCGCTCTTTGCCTATAAATCAACATGGCATCAAGAAAGACTATTATTGTGAGGGAACATTTTGAGAAGGATAATCCTTCACAGGTTTAGTGTTTATTAGGCAAAAAAACAATTACATTCTCAGGTTAATGTGTTGATTTTGGGTGCCTGGTGTGATGAAGCCTAGGCGATCATAAATATATGTTTATATGACCGTCTAGGATGAAGCCAACGTGGGACGCTCAATAAGTCAAAAACGATCAGGAAACGACAAAATGCAGTTTTTGGGACACCTGAATAGACATAAGGGTCTTGAACATCTAGCTCTCACTGGCAAAATTGAGGGCAAGCGAGGCAGGGGTAGGCCCAGAACAACATACTTAGGGAAAACGATCAGGGAAACATAGCTTTTTTTGAGAGCATCCGAGCAAAGGAATTAATGGAAAACCATGAGCGCCGATGTCTGTCGGAGATCTGGCACTGGATAATGATGGTGTGTGTATTGGTAAAGAAAATTTTTTTTTATCAATCAAGTTCAAATAGGCCTACTAGGTATCGGTATCGGAATCGAATCGATTCCTTGAAAAAGTATCGGGTATCGCATTGATTCCCAAATAGTGGTATTGTCCCAGCACTAGTGTACATGGACTTGGGAGCGGATTTGTTAGTACGGCGTTGAACACATCTGCTGCACTATATCAGAACAGGACCAAAATTGGCTGTCTATATTTTTAAAAATTTGGTAACCAGAGGTGTGAAGTGTCACATTTGGCACGAAGGAGAAAGACCATTGATTGCCAATGAATTCTTTTCTTGTGTTAGTAACTTCCTGGAGGAGCCTACTGACAATAAATATGTCTCTTTCATTTTATATACAGTGATGGCTGTTCTCATCAGACCACAACGCTATCTTGTCAAATGCAATCAGCGACATTTGTACCAGATAGAACAAAACTTTTCAACACAAAATACCTTGAAAAGGAAAAAAAACGCAAATTAAATGGAAGTGGACAGCACATACAGTGTTAGTGAAAGGTCCCTGAAAAAAGTATGGTTTATGTGCTCATGGAAAATCTGGAACGTTTTTAAGACAGCGAGACAATCCCCCCCCCCTTTGATGTTTGATTTCAGGACTATTCAGACCTTTCTGATACAAAAATGACCCCACTGTCACAAACGTTCATTGCCTTTGATCGACACTGAACTAAAACATACAGTGCAAATTGAACGTTAAGATGAATGGTCTTTTTTACTAACTCCATGAGGCCAAAAACAGTCCTGTCCTAGAAGACCCTACCAAATAACTGAAATA